GATTGGAACAATTAAATTATTTCGATAAATGTAAATTTGTTATACTTAATTAAAAGAAATCAACATTTCTACAAAGAAGTAATAAGAAATCAATTTTATCAATCGTTTTAGTATTTCTCAAATTTCCCTGAAACGCGATGAAAATTGAATTCGATTCCCTTACTTCGATGCATCTCGGGACAAGATTATTTTCGTCTTACGCTGTTACCCAATTTCCTAAGTTATAGTAAACTATCAACCAACCGTTTGGTGACGCGCCAAATACATATTGCCACAAGTGCCAGCGTACGATGTTTTCCAATGCAGGAATTGTGGCAATTTTCTTCCTACGAACATTTTGTTCGTTCCACTCTTCTGGCTTTTTACTATCTCCTTCTATTTCTGTTTCACCTGCTGCTTCATTAGTCAATTGTATCACTATGTTCACAGAGGAAAGAGTATGTGAAATATGCAAAAGTATTTCCTCTGTCCGGTACGCTGGATTTCAAAGTACCGAGTAAATGGTATAGGAGAGTTGTTGGATCACTTGAGATTATTTGTGGGCTTGCAATGGCGATAATTCCAAGTCGTAAGGAAGCATTTTTTAGTGCATATCAAACATTTCTTTACATTTCTTTTTTTTTAAACACATCGATTAACTATACTGTCATTAGGTACTTATACCTTGACTTAGTTGTTTACCGTTCCGGATATTTTGTTAGAACTAAACAAATATTTCTCTTTTATTCCTATGTTTACAGATAAGATAAAAAATGTGTCGAATGCGGTGTTACTATTGTTGATGTTAATGGCTGTGTATTCTCACTATATGGTGAACGATAAGTTCGAGAGGATTGCTCCAGCACTGGTAAAGTGAAGCAGATACTTATAAAAAGACGATAAAGTACTAAAAACGAAAATTAGATTTTACTACAATTATCTTTTTTAGGTATTCTTCTTTATGCTAACGGGCCGATTAGTAATAGATTGGCAACTCAGGCGAGAAGACGCACAACCGATAACAGCAAATGGTGTAGATGATAAAAGCAAGAAACAAGATTGAATTCGAAATTTTTATGCATACATGTTGTTCTTTGGTTGCCATTTATCACTTTTATCACATACAAATAATTTTCAATACATTAGACAGACAGACCATTTATTTGATGCTCAATTTCTTATTTCGATGTACATTAATTATTTCTACTCTCACTTGCAACACGTTTTCCATCTCGCGTTCTCTCATTCTGTCAATTCTGTTGCTTATCGTAGAAAATTATCACTTTAACTGAACTGAATTTAAATTTTAGAATGAAACTTCTGCATCTTCATAACTTCAAAACTTGCAAAATTTAATCATTAGTTAGCATTATATTTATTTAATCACAGGATCATGAAATACTAGCTCAAGCACAAGATATTAACTGCCATTCGAATTAATGTGTTCTCCTGGATATCGTGTTAAGATGTATATACATGTCTTTAAATAATATAGTGAAAACAATCTCCTTTCATATTAAAGTGTACATGCCTGATTTCTTTGCATTGCAATTGTTTTTACTTGTTTGTTGCTTTTTTAATTTCTCACAGAAAAAAAGCACATAGGATTTTAAGAATCAAATGAAAACATGAATTGGAAATTATGTATAAACCAGTTAGATCAAAGACTCAATCAGAGCTGTAGCATATAATAACAACTATGGTTTGCTTTTTATTCAAAAAAGAACCAAAACATTTGAAGAAAAGAAAAAAGACAACGTGTAACGTTCGCTAATAATTGTACATTATGAATTTTTACAATAATAAAGTAATGTACGATATATTATAAATAAGAGTGAGAATGAAATGCGCGTTAATGCTCATGTGTATGTACTGTAATACATATTGCAAATTATTATCGTATCGACCACATACAATGTTTCATGAACTTTCACGAACCAAAAATATTCAGTTCGTTCATTCAAGTAGATTAAATTTTTAATAATATAGAAAAGATGATGTGAAATATTGTAAGCGTACAAAAAAGAAAAGAAAATTATAAAAATTAATTGAATTATTTAATTACATTGACATGAACAATTATAAAATTGTTGTACAACCTACTTTCACTAACGAACAAGTTTTTGTATTGTACACGATGTTTTTTAATTCTTCCCGTTCATACGTTTCACATCAATCCATGATAAACTTTATGCTTTATTTCTTTTTATGGAAAAACAAAGTAAAATCTTCTTGATTAATTATGTAACAAGTGATTAGCTTGTTTCAATAATAAACGTATCATTATGAGAATGAAATGCGCGTTAATGCTCATGTGTATGTACTGTAATACATATTGCAAATTATTATCGTATCGACCACATACAATGTTTCATGAACTTTCACGAACCAAAAATATTCAGTTCGTTCATTCAAGTAGATTAAATTTTTAATAATATAGAAAAGATGATGTGAAATATTGTAAGCGTACAAAAAAGAAAAGAAAATTATAAAAATTAATTGAATTATTTAATTACATTGACATGAACAATTATAAAATTGTTGTACAACCTACTTTCACTAACGAACAAGTTTTTGTATTGTACACGATGTTTTTTAATTCTTCCCGTTCATACGTTTCACATCAATCCATGATAAACTTTATGCTTTATTTCTTTTTATGGAAAAACAAAGTAAAATCTTCTTGATTAATTATGTAACAAGTGATTAGCTTGTTTCAATAATAAACGTATCATTATACATATACGTATGTATTCTGAAACAACTATAATTACTACGATAATAACGAATTCATATATTGACGCTGTTTTATACACATGTAGAACAGATTTATATCTCAAAAATACCAGTAACATTCGGCATGACTGTAATAATGTGAACAATTCAAATAAATAAGTTATTGTTTCTACTTTTGCGTTACTTAAGCTACATAAACATTAATATTTACATTCGTGCTTGTAAATTAAAATCAATTGACCAACTATGAGGCTTACTGTTACTTTGTTGAAGGCGGCAGAATGATTCATTTAATTAATATTTTCATCCATAATTTCAATCACACAGGTTCCTGACCAGTCGTTAAAAGGTGCAGAGCCTTTCGAAGATTCGACACAGCCGTAGGTACATCGTCGTAATTTAAAGCACTTCCAGCCCATTTAATAAATTTTTGCGCTTTACCTATCTGTTCCACTGACAACTCGAGCCCATCTGTATTTAATATTGAATGCGTATTTATAATGCAACCAAGCCATCTGCAAATGAATTGCTTTCCTTTAACTTACCTTCTGTTTTCGTAATCATATTTCCTTCCTGGCTTCCAGAAGACCATTGCGCGATATTTCCTTTATCTTTGTCGCTAGGTTCTGCATTGATTCGATTAGTGTCAGCTAAATCATCTGATGGTAATGTTTCTTCTTCTCTTAATTCTTCTCCTGTTCCTGTAAAAGTATTACTCCGAGAGTCCGTTATAGAAATATGATAGAAATCATTTACTATATTAACACATAATTGAAAATTTTAGTTATTAAAGAAATAGCTATCTATATCTTTTGAATGTTGGAATGTATCTGGATATTTATATATAAAATGACTAGCATTTTTACCTTCTATATTTTTACTGGAGTCAGCATTCTCGTTATCCTCTTCTATGGGACCTGGTATAGGCGTTTCGTTGTTCTTCAAACAGTTATGAATATATGCTGCTTTCCACTTAGCATATTTTCTATTTTGTGTAGCTTCATCACTCAGCTCACCAAAAACTGTTAATACATCGTAAAGAAGCCCAGCAGTAAAAAAGCTCTGTATTACACTCTTTCCAAAATTCGCATTTCTATCATTTTTATCAGCATAAAGGAAAAGTTTCAGTGCCCAATTTTCTAGGTGTGCCTGGGCAGCTACATCATTAGTAATAGCTTCATTGTCATGTAATTCTTTTTTGGTTGTTTCTAACCAGTCCATTAATTTCAGTAAAAAGTTCGTTTCTTTTGGTGTTTTGGTTGATAATTTCAATCCTGTTTGGAGAGCATACAGTCGGCCTAGAGAAAGAATTGGTAGTTTAAAATTGTGCTTTTATTAAAAAGATTAAGACAAAATAAATACTTACACCAATAACTAATAACAGGATCTCGTTGATCATGTGTTGATGCTATTTTCAGATAATGCTGTATACTTTTCAATGACTGTGGTATTTCTGGTAAATCTGGCGCAACCATCTTGATAGTTTATATTCGAATTGTATTTATTTTCTTCTTGACCACGTTATAAAATACTTTTGTAGCTCGCTTCAGAACGTTATTGCAATTCTGTCTACAACATATTCATGAACTTTGTATTACTAATAATTTATGACACTTTAATGTAAATGTTCTGATTTCTTGTTCCCATTGAACTATATTAAAACTAAACTATGAATATAAATCCCCAAAACAATTTTGTGACAATAATTTTAGCATAAAGATGATATATACTTATTATCTTTAAGTGGATCAATAGTATTCACGACAAACATATTTCTTATTACAATATTTAACCCATCATATCATTTACAAAAGAGCAAATATACGTCGGCATGATAACCAGGAAATTTAATATGTACCTATACAAATGAATACAATTACTTTATTCGATAAATATGTATATCATAATTTTTATACGTCGTGGCAAATTTACCAAGATCATATCAGTCGTACCTGAAAATCGTCCGTGTTGCTAATTATATAATTGTATATGACAACACAGTAATATAATATCAAAACTATACCGGCTATCTTGACTTTATACTAACTGTCACTAATTTACATGCGTATGCGTAGTGCGGTTATCCATTCCATTTACAATCGGCGTAGAATGTGAATCTGACAATTTAACCCTAACCTATGTATATAAGCATATATAAGTGCATACATATAGGTACGAGTTTTATATATATATATATAAAGTGATACAATACAATCATCCATTTCCATTACATGTTTGTGTTAGTAGAACCATGCCGATGCGGTGTCACAGCGATTTTAGTAAACGTGTATGTATTAATTACACACACATGTACGTATTCATATTATTAATTTCAAGATGATTAAATTACGTAGGGCGTGTTTCATTTATTTATCATGCACACGCAACTATGAGTTATGATGAAACATGAAACTGACTGATAAAAAATAAACAGAAATATATAAATATAATTTAAATAATGTGTTTCCTTGTTTATTGCTAAAGAATTAAACTAGAAATTCGGTTGAATACAATGAAAAATATATTTTAAATATAGAATTTGTACTTAATTACAGATGTATAAAAGACATCAAATAAAAATATATAAATGTGTACATTTGTTGCTTGTATCGAATAATCGAGCAATCGAGTCAAGACAGTTTTCGATTTAAAACACAACGACGAACTAGAAGCTACAGCCATTTGTCGTAGAAAATTCTAACCTAAAGTGGAAAATGACTGTGCGTCGGTGCGAATATTACATTCAGATAAGAAGAGTAATTATAAAAAACTGCAATTCTCTGAGCAATGCTTAACTATCGGTTTTAGAAATATCTGCATCGGATAGGGAAGTTGAAATCATCGCATTTTTGGATAAGAAACAATATTTTATACCAGGTATGTATGATCGTTGTATTAAGTAAAGGGCAGAACAAAATTTTAATACATGATGTACGAAGCGTTTAAGAGAACTTACTATATTATTAAATATTAATAGGGTTATAAAAAAAGTGGAATTTAATAATTATTTGATCGTATTCATCGTACCCCGTGGGTATGCTTAGTTATGTCGTCAGCAAACAATACAGAATCACTTGGAACTCTACAATGGGATATAATCGAATTGGCAAACCATTTGCGTCAAGAACGCTTGTTTGTCAATTCAGAACAACAAAATCTACAAGTACTTAATAAGAAGGTGTGAAAAATTTAATTTAAACCACTATAATATAAATAGCATCAATGACCATGTTCTTACATTTGTCTAGGTATTGTATGCATCATCGAATTTAGCTCAACAAGCATGGATTACAGCCCAGCAAAGGGTAAACCTGAATCAATTGATAATGTCTAAACCATATTGTACACCAGCATCATGTTGTCAAAGAGCAAATATATTGGAAAGCCCAAATTTCGTGGATGTATACAAATATTTAAATTATCAGACATGTCTATCATATGGGGAGTTTTTAGGCGCTTTTAGGAAATCTCCAAAGTTGATTGCGCTATGTTTAGTCGAGGGGGATAAATTGTTACCAGACTTGGTGCAAACTATAGTTCAATTATTAGCAGCTGGTTTATATGGTAGTTGTTTGCTACCAGAGGATAAGATTTTGCTGTTAAAGTTATTGAGGCACCTGATGCTGCTACAGATCATACCGTCTGATAATCCTAGAAGATTACTCAGACATGGCACTTGCGCTTTCTCTAGGCTTTACTCGATCTTTCATGAGAGTCTATTTTCGGCCAAGTTCTTTTTGACTGCTGCTTTGCATAATCCGATTGTGCAGTTATTGATGGAAGATGAAATGTTTCTCGACATTGATCCAGACAAAGCGCCCATAAGGTTCCCTGCAGCAGAGAGGTTGAAAAAATTTGGCAAAGAGGGTACTACCGAGTATGAATCTAAATTACAACGTTACAGACTCTGGACGGTTAATTCTTTGTTTAATATTACACAAAGATTTATAACCAGTATAAGAGAAAATATGCATTGTTTCCCAAGTAGCATATGCTGGCTGGTTCGACAAATGGCAGGACTTTTAGGAAAAAATGGGAATGTTGATTCGAAAGAAGTACATGCGATGTGTACCGATTTGGTTTTTACGTACTTTATATGTCCTGCGATCGTAAATCCGGAGCCGTATGGTATTACCGATGCGCCTATTAGCTATGTTGCACGATTTAATCTAATGCAGGTTGGACAAATCCTGCAAATGCTCTCGTTAATGAAGTATCAAGCCGTTGACAGTAAGACGTTCGATCTCTATAAAAAATTCGACAAGGATTCTATTTCTTCTATAATAGATACGATGGTAAATGGTGCGGCAGAAGAACTCGAAGATGAACCCAATATCAGCATCGATAACAATAAACTTCGAGGTCTTTCGCGTTCTGCTGCTTTATTCACTGAGACAGAGTTGAATACGTTCATTATATTTTTGCAAACTATAGCCGCTGAAACCGCAGTAGAAAACGCTGCTTTTGATGCGAAACAACTGGTCAATTTACTCTCTCAATTACCTTCTGGTTCTTTATCCGCAAATAAATTGGCTAACAATCATTCCGTCGAATCTACCAACAAAAAGGGAGGTCTTCTAGGAAAAGGTAATTAAACTATTAAAATTCAGTTCCTATATGCACACAGTTTAATCTTCATATTCTATTAGATTAAAATAGCGAAATATGTAAGGAACAATATAAAATATAAGATGAGGCAGCGGGAGTTTGGTATATATACAATTGCTCCGTAGGCAGAAAACGAGGAGTACTAATATCACCGTCATCATCGTACTCGTCTAATACGACTAACGATGGCGGAGATGAGCTGAATGGTACTTCGACTCCTGAAGAGGAATCCATTGATAAAAATCCTCAAGATGTTCTTGTTATCCCATTTGGACCAACTAGTGGAGAATTTGTTGGACTACTTAGTGAACAAAAAGTATGTATTTATTTCTCTAACAGAATTAATACATTAATAGACTATTTTTGTAATTGCACACATCTTTTAATACGGTAGGTCTTGTGTACGGAACTTGGATCTAATTTAGAAAATGGACCAGTTACTTTGAATCTCGAATCAGATGATATATCCAACATTCACGATAGACGGGAAAGTTGCAGCGTTGAGCGTATAGAAAGTCAAGAAAAAAAAACTCGATTTTCGTTGTCTCATGATGAAGGTATTAGAAAGGAAGAATTATTTATGTCTCTTACGGAGTATGAATATGCGATAATAATTATATTTTATTAGTTCTATTCGAAGGATTTAATGGCAATACTTCGGATAATTTGGAGGCTGTATCTGAAGCTGCTTCGAATCATAGTGTCGCGTCCTCACTGGAGCTTGAAACAGAAGATCAAAACGATAATCTCTCGGATATGGTATCCGCTAGTGTGTCAGGACGTGGAACGCCTAACATATCAGGTTTTGATAAATGAACTTCAACATACAGCATGAGTGAAGTTTGCTAGATTGATTCGAATTGTGAATCTACAGGTCGTGACACCCCATCCTCTCAAATGACGGAAGGTGAAGAAGGGCGAACAGACGAAACGCGACAATTGGGTCTACCATCGTCGACTATACCGACGAAACAGAGCCAATCCGAGATAGATGATAAATTTTGCAAATTCGAAATAAAAAAATTAATCGAAGGTATACAGTGTATAAAAGGATAGCAGGATAAAAAGATCACGTTTCGAAGTTGGTGCATACATTTTTAGGAGACGAAACTGTTTCAATGGTATCTGATACTTGGTCGACGGATGTTCTGGCTTCGGATAGTGAAATAGTCGAGCAACAAGAAAAACCCTTATATCCCCCTTCGACCGAGCAAATTTCATCAGTTTTGTCAACAACTTCGGAATCAATGCCGCAAGCAATGTTAGATGTGAGTGAAACTGCATCTGAAGCTTGGAGTACTGATGTGTTGGCTAGTGATTCAGAGAGACTAACGGAAGTTGATACCGACGATACTGCTAGCGTTGCAAGGTATGTTATACAGACAAGAAAAAGAAACGGAGGATCTGTAATCATTTTTTTCATTTATTTATTTATTTACTTTTGTTTTAGATCTGATGACACTGCAAGGTCCGAAATCGAAGTTGAGGCTTGTAGCGAAGCTGAAACCACCGAAAAGACACTGTCACAATCAATTGCTCGTAAGTATAATTAAAAATTCTACGTTTATTCAAGATCTATTAATTTACTAATTTCCTTTGTGTTATTAATCTTTAGAAAATGTTACTTCGACTGAATGTTTATCAACAACGAATTATCAAGAGAACGCGCAACTTCCTACGAGCATTTCTCTTTCACCGACAACGTCTCCAACGTCCATTTCAGATATGGCTGAACAAAGCAGATCTAATTATTCAACTATCACGACAGAATATATTGATAAAAATGCCAACAATATTGGCAGTGATTCTATAGATTACGGGAAAACACCGTGCGAGGGTATGGTCGATCTGATGGACAAGTTACATATTGAAGATGCAAAAGATCAAATGGAGCAACAAAATTCGTCTCATCACAATGCTATCGCCACAGCAGCTGTTACGCCAGCTTTATTATTAGCTAATCACATCTCACCGCCTACTTTGATGAACACAGAGAAATCACATAATGTTCCGAAATCAGAGGTTTGTCTCCCTAAATAATCGTTGTTGTTAGTATATTATTCGTTCGAAATGATGTTCAAAGCTCTATTAATATGTATGCAGGAAATACAAAGTGGCTTAGTTGATACGATTGATGGAAGTATTAATGAAAGCGGTCCTGATGGTGCTGTTGGATTAAGTACTGGTAGTTTGGCATCCAGCAGTAGTTCAGGTTCTGAAACGCGAATAAAAAATACGAATTCAGAGATACCGCGTGTTTCTTTGGAAAATGAGAACTGCGATGTCACGAACGATAATCTGAAGCCGACGGCTTCAAGTGGAGCTATACCGAAAAGTATCAGCTTCGATATGACCGCAGAACGTGGAGACAAGGAATTGTTGGACGATGATCAAAAAAATAAGAGAAGCTTTTTTGGTAAATTAAAAATGTCTTTGAGAAATCGACGCAGAACAGTTCGTGGTACAGAAGATATCGCTAGATGTTATGATCGAGATATCATTGGAGATGGTATTAACGTGAGCCGGCATAGACCACGCAGAATAATGTCAGAAGATGTGACATCAACTAGCAGTATGAACGGTGGTAAATACTATTATTTCTAACGTTGTGTGAAGACAGGCGATCTTCTAGGGAATATAAGCAAGTAAAGAGAGTGATTTAAATTTTTCTAGATAGCACGGACGACATTTTAGCTAAATATAGAAGGAAGCCAAGTGCGGCAAGTGACACAGCATCCATAGAAAGCAATCAGTCTCGTATGAAAGATTCAACTGAAGACGAAAGGCTTTTTATAGATCCGAATAATGTAGAGCTTTCGTATGCATTTTCTGATGCTAAAAGAAAATTGCGAATGGTACTTAGTACTGCTGATCTTCAGCACGTTCCTTGGAGCGCTACGTCAGAGGTAGTATATTACAATATAATTGTGTTAAACAGTGCTTTAAGTGCTGTTCGAGGAGTACTGAAAAAGCTTAATTTATTGATTCCAGCGGAGTTACTGGTTACAAAAGGAAAATGAATTAGTTGCTTTCCTGCAATTGCAATTGGCAGAAGCCATAAATTTACAAGACAGAGCATTAATAGCACATTTACACGAAACATTGCGCTGCGTTCGATTGTTTAATGACGACGGATGTAGAAAATTGTTTAAATCATTACGCGAAGATTATAAAAAACGATCACCATACATCGCGTACTTGATCAGATGTCGACAAGGACTACTTTCCACGTTAGCTCATCTGGATAGGTAAAATAAAAAGGAGTTATTATTATTACTTTTTAAGCAATACGAGCAACCTTATATGATTACAGATTGTGTGTTAGAGTCAAATGCGATCGTGACACTATCAACAATCATCTTGTTTCTGTTTGCGTAAAAGTATTTTTGGAAAAGAGAGAATCACTTCTTCTGCGTTTCTGTGATGAATTCAAGAAATTGACACTGACTGATGAAAAACAAGATTTAGTCGACAATTTCTTAAGTACTGTTTATGCTAAAATGGATAGCGATTCGATTTGGCAATGTAAGTGGAAGTTAATTCATGTACAACAAATCAACTGTCCGTATGAATCAGTGATAATAAGATTATCCGCACGATGAAAGCAGGTGCAAGCGAGAATCAGCTAAACTTGGCGAGAGTTGTAGTGGAAAGGACTGTGATGGCTCGCGTTTATCATAACGCTCTTTATCCAAACGGGGACGGTGACGTTTACAGGGACCAATTGCTGCATGACCATATTAAAAAACTGGCTCAAGTCGTAACACCGAATCACAAAGATTTACGAATCCCAAAAATTTATCACTATGAATGTCCCTGGCCTTGGGCCCAAGCGGAATTAGCTGTGATATCAGCCTATAAAACGCCTAGAGATAAATTACAATGTGTCTTTCGTTGTGCTACTACCATTATGAATTTACTTTCTATGGCAACAGAAAGGGGAGTTCCTGCGGCTGATGATATGATTCCCGTATTAGTCTACGTTATCATCAAAGCAAGTATCTCAATTTTTTCTTCTATACGTACAGTATGTTCATATCAACTTTTACTACAATGGAGCTTATTTCAATTATTTTTCAGACTAATCCACCATCCTTGCTTTCAACTATTCAATACGTGGATAGCTTTTACGGTAATAGATTAGGGGGAGAAGAACAATATTGGTGGACACAGTTCTGTTCCGCAATTGAATTTATAAAAACCATGGATTAGCTCGTATCTACTAACAAAGTATTGTTAGAACTGTAGAAATAGTGTACAATAATTTTCACGATCACGCTCATTATTTCTTAATAACTGTCATTGTCATTTCGAATATATATTATAATTATAAATTATAATATTACAATCGTCATAATTATCATCTTTCTTAATTTTATCTTTATTATTAAGCCATTGTAATCAGCATGCGTAATATCAGTAAATGAATATCTCTATTCTTGCTATTTTAACATCAATTATTTTTGTAAAAATGTGTCATAATCACTGTACATCTAATAATGAGATTTCTGGCACTTTTGCTGTAGTACTATTACTTCCATAACTATAAGTATAATTTTTAGAACTATAAGTATAAAAGATTGTACTTGATTATATTCTTAAGAGAAATGCATATATATCCTGCAATAAATATTAGAAGAACAATTGCTTTAAAATAAGCTACTTAGTAAAGATTTAACTCATAATTGTTTCTGTCATTCACAAGTCTCCTTATTATATATTTCACGTTCTAAAAGGATTATCATACTTGCAAAGTAACAAATATCTCTGGCAGTAACAAATATCTGCAGTAATTGCAAGGTTGCAAGTGATTCTCAAATAATAAGATTTTGACGCCTGCGCTTAATTATTACAGACATGAAGTTAGTCAGTTAGTCCTTTGCTTTCAAAACCTTTGAATTCGAGTGTGAACTGTATATAGCAAGTACATAAAAAATGGGTCAAAAGCGCAAGAATCGCAATGGAAAAGATGATTTTGAATATGACCCAGCTCCTAAACATCTCCACGTTGCTCATATTAAAAATCAAGAAAAACGTTTGATCATTATTTTAGAAAAAGCTCAATTGGAATCTGTTAAGGTTAGTATTTTTCATGTGAATTTTGTATTGTATGAATCGTTAGTAAACAAGTATTAAGTTGGATATTCATTAATTGTATANTTATGTATTTGATATGAAATTTGATTTCATCCAATTATTAACTTTAGTTACATTAAATTAAAACGAGTTTCAATTTACATTTTTACTTTTACGTATATACATTTGGAAAAGTATAGAGTTGCGCAATTCTTAATAGTAAATCCTAAACATCCTAAATAGAATGACTCATCAGTATTGGTTTTCAAATGATTGGCTCATGGCTCATATAATAGAAACTGTAAAGACGTGCACCAATCGTTATTCAGAACGCGATAAACTTACGACAACCGGAAGGATGTTAACTTGTGCGTGGATATCGAGCCCTAAATGCCTAGTTTCTTTTTTGACTTCCGTATTTCATTACGTCATCAAAGTAAAAATGGTTGTTAATGTTAAGTATTTGCAACACTTCTCTCCTTCTCGTAAAAACATACAATGGGGATTATACTACGTTGCTTTTTAAACTTTGAGAATCGTCGTTTATGTGCCTCAACCTCAACGTCTGTATTCGAAGTGTCGTGTATTACAAACGTAATATCTCGAAAAGTGGCAGTATTCATACATGAGACGCCATTTTGTGGTTTAGTGCCGTTGTCGCCTGTGTCAATGTTTATTATGTCAAGTTTTCACGAACTTCAATTAGAATTGTTATTATATTTTTTTATGCTGTGTTCTTTCAATTCTATAGCTGATGTTATGTGATAAATTATATAATTGTCGAGTTGACTACCGTAGTGAATGTCACGAGTTTACAGCTTGTCGATATGTTAACATTGACTTCAGGATATTGATAGATATTATATGTCAAATAGATTATCTGTTTAATTACGTTACATTTTGTACAAGTAAAATGTAGTATTTTTAAGGATGAAGATCATATTTTAATCGGGAAATACATATTACGATGAAGCAGAGGTCAATTGTTCACGTCTCGCCATTTTGGATACATAACGGAACTTGCTACGTGATGACGACGATGAATACGTCATGACAAAATATCATTTATGTTGCATTCGAAATTTACCACATGGTAATTAAGTTTTTAATTATTTCGTTGTTTATGGTAGATGTATGATTATTTAAGAGGAAGCGATAAAAGCAGAATGTACTTATAGATTTTGCGCGCATCCCAAAATGCATTGCAATAGTTACACATAGAATCGTGGAATTGGGCCACGGCTTGCGCGGTCATTAATAAATTTTAACGTTAAATTTCAAATGAGAAATTAATTATTACTTATATTAATGGAACTTATTTTATTTTCTATTGCCATAATTTATTAATATCTATGATTTGAAAATCATTATCTGAATGATATAATAATGCATTCTGGGTGAACATGGAACGATGGAAATTAACCATTAATTTTTGGATTGATTAATAAAATGTAATAGTTAATTTATAAATAAAGATCTTCAATTAATATACCCTACAATTTTTTGCTTCTATATTCTAATATTGCTACATTAAAGATTTTAATATATGAACAAAAAATTAGTTTTCAAAATTAATTTTTAATTCCCGATTATCCCGAGTGATTGTACACGCGATATAACGGACAGTTTTTCAATAGTTCACAATTTGCAAATCTAAGGTATGAAATTGTGTATGTAGTCAAATTAATTGTTAAAAACATTTGTTACGAATAGACAATTTTCAAATATATTTCAAAGATGGTAATGTTTTAGAATATTTATGAAAAATTGTTAAAATTGGCGCGTTGGTGTTCGGATTAGTTCGGTAAAATTCGGAACAGCAGAGAAGCAAGGGGAATGGATAGACAGGTCGTGTTCGAGGAACACCGGAACAGGACCATTCGGTACGTCGCGGAAGAATGCGTAGCCATTGTTGGTGCTGCGATCGTTAGTTTGTAGATCCGAGATCGTCATGGGTACGGAAAGCCATCCGATTGTACGAGACTGCAGGAAAATGTTGGTGGAGCTCGGTATGGGGCACTGATACGATATTAGTGCGAGAGATCGACGTCCGCATTCGTAAGTGTGGAACTAAGTTGGTCGGGCCGCGTCCGCGTTCGTCGCGTATGCGAACCGAGCGCTCGCGCTCGCACGAGTGAGAGTGAGTGAGTGATACGGTGGGGCACACTCGGCGGCGGCCATAACACCGACCAACCAAACTAGCGAGCAGGGAGAAAGCGTAGTTCGAGTGTCCAAGACGTAGTGGTAGTGTTTTACTAAAGAATTCCCGTGGAAAGTGGACTTCCATTGATCAGGTAAGTGATTATAAGTAATCTTGAAGTTTCTGGATCCGTTGATGATGAGTATATCGCGTGGTGTGTGCCGTGGTGGTGCGTAAGTGGCGGCTGTAGCGGCGGGCCCTTGAGAGCTTTCTTTCCCGAGCGGCCATACCGCCATGTTGAAACCTACGCCAAATCGAGTGACCAAAAAGGCGGCTCGAGTATTCCGCGCGCTACAATTGTCCGATGTGAGAAACGTTGCAATTTCGGCGCCAGTCGAGCGCTCGGCTAGATTCTCACACGGCGGCTTGCTCGTGTTTGTTGTGCGTCGGCTGGGTGCATCGGCTGGGCGCGGGTCTGCTACCCTTCCCCTCGCCATCCTCTCCTACTTGTCCTCCTCCTCTTGCTCTTTCCACTCCTGCATCTACCGCGTTTATTTCACTTCTGTCGTCTCTCGTGGATCTCACTTTTCTCCTTTCTTTGATGACTTTTAACCATCCAAGCACCTGTTCGACCTGCGAACACTCTTATCTCTGCCCTTGATATTCGGACCACTGTACGAGTAGAACATCTTCGCGGCATGGATTGTTCTGGCAATGCTACTCTTCACCACGGTAGAAACTCTTGCTACCCATGATCGAAATCTTATGGTCGTTCGCGAGATCGTTTTTTTCCTGTGCATTGTCAATTTTGTATTTTAATAGTCAGCTCACTTTCTATACCAGTGTACCAGTTATTTGTGCTACTTTTGTCAAACTTTCCATTTTGGCTTACACTGGTTTTGAACAACAGGGTATACAAAATAATTCTTGTACAGAAGTGCAGATATTGTACAACAACAGTATTACATTTTGTACATGCTGTTCCTGATTAACCTTGAGTATTTTCTTGAAAATGTTTCAATTCAAATGTGTTATTTACATACATTCGTTAGTTAGTTGAAAGAAACCCTTTGTTCTTTCTCATTTAGCTTTACGTTTGAAAGTTGTTACAAAGGAATAGAATGTTGGAAAGTTGTGAATTATCAAATTATTTATGTATGTACGTTTAATCAGATGTATAAGAGTAGATTTCCTGTGAGATTTAGGTACATTCATATTCTCTTTATAACCTAAATTCTAGGTTATTATACGCTATTTACATTAAAATAATAGTTCTATAGTGTTGTACAAACATGCTGTACAAAAGCCTATACAATCATAGTTTAGCTGCTTATGTTACATTTTTTGTGGGCAATGCAAAAACTTTGTTCATTTTCCCATTATTCATGGAGAATACCCTTTATAAGAATCTAGGTATTGATAAACATTGTTTGATTTGATACATGCATCTTCTTTTATATCGTTGTTGTTTCACCAATTGTAGCTATCAGTTATAATAACTTGTACAAAAACAATTTCATAAACGAAAGAGGTTTAAAAGAGCAATTTGAACGTCAATATTACAGTACATTGTCAGTTTACCGTCAACATTAGTCAGTTCATGTATACCATAATGGAGAAAAGAATTATATGTCAAGCATGTATCTTACAACATTCAGTTATGCATGATATGTTAAATAATTTATATTATATATTACTTGAATTTTTATATATTACTTGAATTTTTATACATTACTTGAGAATAAATCAATGTTTAACTTGCTCTAAAGCAATAAGACAATTTGGGGTTGTTACAATACGGGGTCCTGTTGTTATGTTATCCAGATGTTGCTAATGTTGCGAGTCTTGGCTGGAGGTACGGAGTCTCACAGCAGTGTACAGGGCTGACATTCAAAGTACTACCATTTGGTAGGCTTGAGTAGTGTTATGCCTCCACGGCACCAATCTCCCTGGTTGCAGCGCAATCATCTTGGCAAGCAATTAGTGAGCTACCATGCTCAATTCAGAATATATCCTTGCCATCTCAATTGTTGATGAAGCCTCATAGCGTCAAGCATCAACGTAAGGCAGTTACCTGCTGCATAGCATTTATGTACCATATATGTCGGAAAGGTAGGTGAAGCTCATTACCGTGGACTTGATGAGCCTTATATCATAAAATACATCTAGTTATTTCATGAAATGTGAAGTTTGATCGTATCAGTTGGAGTTTGACGTCTCTCTCGTGTAATAAATCCTACAAGTTTTGAGAGAAGGCAATAAATAAATGGTTACTATGAAAGAGCAGTAAAAAAATATGGTATTTTGTGACTTTATGTTACAATAATGAAAATAGGTTACACACAAGTGAGTTTTAAAAATTAAGATATTACAAGCCCACAGTGCGAAAAACTTGATGATGAATGATATTTTAATTCGTCTTTGCCCTTATTCATGAAACTTATTGACACACTTATCTTTTTCTGTTACAGAGACGAAGCCAAGATGCAGCAGGTGGACAATATCTCGCAAAATAATTCGGTAAGTAATGAATTAATTTAACAGCGTATTACTTGAATACGCAGCTTGCTTATTAATCTACTAAAGCTACACGTAAAAGCTGTATATAAGTTGTATAACTCCTAGTAGTTAACACAATATATTAAGCAGCATATAGAGATGTGACACCCTATTCTTTAGTAATAATCTTTTTCATTTAACGCAATTTACGACTTTTCTCTGCTGTACTTGGTAAAAAATGGAAATGATATTACTCTCTTTTTGTACATTTTGCATAGAGTTTTCACTAGTATTTAAATTATTACATGCCTTAGTTACAAGTATATCAGATAGAGACACCATTGTACTGAAATTAAAACTCAATAGCTGTACAAACTAGATATTTAGTTTTAATACCAACAACTGTCCTTTTAACGCTGTACTTTACATCTGCTCTCTACTGTTTATATTATGCACTATGATGCCAAACTTTATGAAACTTTACTACTGCAGATGCTCTAATCCTAATACTTTATTCAGCATAATTTTTGTTTATGTAATGAAACTGAGCGTTGTTTGATTGAGTGGTATGTATGAATTACAGTTAGATGTGGAGGAGCGAGAAAGGCTGTGTAATATACCGAAGGTGAGATTCCTTGTTGACTATTGTTTCAACTAGGATATATATGGTTAAAATTTAAAATGGCAGCTCTAATACTACTATGAGCAGTTCGTAATTTTGATTCTATATCTCTAAAATAATCGTATACAAACTATGAAAAATTTGAGAAAGTAATAGTTATTAAATAGTAAAGCACTTTCTATGTATTATTTGCATGAAGCAAAGTACTTCTGCTCTACACTTTAAATTCTTGTCTGTTAAGAAATGTTGAATATGTACTTATATAGCTCATAAGCCATTTCATACAATATACAGTTTTTTTCTTACACTATTTAAGAAAGAAATACTTTTTATTGTTTTTACGTTATCCTAAATTGTTCATGACGTATTTGATTTTGATTGCATGATTGTATGAAATGATTTAGAGTTGCCATTATATTTCAGTTGGAAACACTTTTTTATACATATACACATATTTTTATTATATACTCAATTAGACTTCCATTAAAGAAAATTCTAAATTGCTTGTTTGTTGGTTATGGAATTTCAATATTTAGCAGCCTAATTCGCTCGTTGCATGAATGGGTTACATAAGTTTGTGATGCATGGATTTCCATACTATGTACATGTACATATTTTTAAAGTTGTACATACAATATTGTGACATTTCATAAGACACATCAGTTGCCCGGTTTACTAACACGAAGTGTTCAACTTGATAAAACTCTTACAAATTATTCTATTAAAAATGACAGTATCTGGTTGTTATAACAATAAACTTGTAAATCATATATATAATAGTATATTGGAGCATGAGTCACAAAATAACTCTATTATCATTGGAATTACTAAATGTTCATCTCATATGAGAAGCAGAAGGCATTGGTCTGAATTTATGCTTAGCAGATTTATTTTTATTTATTGACTTAATATTATATAACAGTAGTTGTCAATATTAACTAATGAAGTAATATTGCTTCGATAAGAAATACATAAATGAAAACTGGGTAATGCAGACGAGTGCACCTGGTAAGACATCGACTACACCAGCAACTCCTGCCAAGGAACCACCGCCACGTGATGAACCACCCGTGGAACCGGTGAATGGTGTAGTCCAACCACCTGTTGTGCCACCACCTAATCGCCCAGGGCGTATTACCAATCAACTACAATTTCTTCAAAAAGGTGTATTCAAGCCAGTATGGAAGCATCAATTTGCGTGGCCTTTTCAGCAACCTGTAGATGCCAAAAAACTCAATTTGCCAGTACGTGGATGCGTTTCTTCTTTACTATTCTATAAGAAATGTGAAAACCTAATCTTGAAAATCAACTTAATGCTTTTGTCAATTTAATAGGACTACCACAAAATTATAAAACAACCAATGGACTTGGGCACAATCAAAAAGCGATTAGAAAATACGTATTATTGGAGCGGGAAAGAATGTATCCAGGATTTCAATACAATGTTCACAAACTGTTATGTTTACAACAAGCCTGGAGAAGATGTTGTAGTCATGGCACAAGCACTCGAAAAATTATTTCTCACAAAGGTTACTAACTTCTCTGAAACGCTTTGATGATGTTAACACATGTATGTCATGAATATAAGACAATACATAATAAATGTTAACAACAGGTTGCACAAATGCCAAAAGAAGAGGTGGAACTGGAACCTCCTGTTCCAAAGGGACCCAAAGGCAAAAAGGCTGCCAGAGTTGCTGCACCAGTAGGTGGTGTAGCAGGAGGTGCAGGAGGTACAGGTCGAGGACGACCTCCCTCTGGTGCAGCCGCGGTTACCTCCAGTGTACCAAATAGTTTGACGCCTTCGGCTACGTCAGCTGGAACAACGGGTGTGATCCCTATGCCTCCCCTTGGCACCCAAGCACCCGCATCAGTACCTGGGAGCACTAATACGACTACTATTGCTCCTCCATCGACCATGGGTGTCACTCCTATGGCTACTCATAATTCTCTGCCTCAACAAGTGGTCCCTCCAACCAGCGGTTACCATGCACAACCGGCAATGGATCCGCAAGCAGCTACTGCTGTGCCTCCTCCTCCACAAGTTCCCACTGCACCCACGGTCATGCCTCCATCCCAGCCAGCAAAACTTAAAAAGGGAGTGAAGAGAAAGGCTGATACTACAACTCCTACTGCAAACTCTTTCGAACCTTTATACAAACTGGATCCTAAAAATGCCAAACTACCCACAAGGCGAGAATCTGGCAGACAAATAAAGAAGGTAATTCTTATTTCATTACCTACTCACATATCTTCTGGTTTCCTTCAAAATATTTGTGTGTATGTGCGCGCCTTATTTTTTATATACTTCTCATATTGATTGTGTAACCTCATCTATCGATCATTCGTATTTGGAAGCTTGTATCGTCAAAAGACATCGCTGTACACCTTAAACCAAATGATAAATAAGTTTTATCAATCTGTCTATCTGAAAAACAATATTTTTTCGATGATGTTATTTTACATAGTGTAAAATTCTAACAATATAAATGTCAATATTCGAGGATACTTCAGTGATCGTTTCAGTAAACCAAAGAATCGTATATGTTAAGTAATTTTGTTCCTCGCACCCTATAATCATAGCATCCATTAATACATTAACAATGAGTTCGTAACGTGGCTGTTTCAGCCAACGAGGCAAGCGGAAGACGGCTTAGTGCCATTCCACCAGGCTAACATGCCCCTGATGGGGACAATGGCCCAACAGGTACATTTATTACTACTCCTTCACGTTCCCTCCATTCATTTGTGCTGTCTTATCATTGCAAACGATTAAATGTTTCGGTCCAAAAATAACGAAAACTCTGTATGTACTCAAATTATGAATAGATATATTTTTGTCCTTTTCTTAAGTTTGTGTACGTCCCTTATTGAGGTTTCACTAAAGACGCTTTTAGAAGTTAATTTTTTTTTCGTAATTTTTTATGCTTGGAAGAATATAGAGGAATGTTTTAAATGTTTTTTCTCTATTATTTTACAGCCTCAACACAATGCTGGCAAGTCGAAAGAGAAACTTTCAGAAGCTTTGAAGTCTTGTAACGAGATTTTGAAGGAGTTGTTCTCCAAAAAGCATTCGGTAATTATCGTGAAATTTACGTATTAACGAACAAACGTTAAGAACATTTTTATAATCTGTACTTCAACCACGTACAGGGATACGCATGGCCCTTTTACAAACCAGTCGATGCAGAACTTTTGGGTCTTCACGATTATCATGACATTATCAAGAAACCGATGGATCTTGGTACTGTCAAGGTAATTTTTTTCTTATCTATGGATATACATTACACCATAGAATTTAAGAATTATGTAATCAAATTAACGTAATTGCTTTACATTCTTTTACAGACGAAAATGGATAATCGTGAATATAAAACTGCACAGGAGTTCGCTAGCGATGTACGACTTATATTTACAAATTGTTATAAATATAATCCTCCTGATCATGACGTCGTTGCGATGGCTAGAAAGCTTCAAGATGTGTTTGAAATGAGGTACGTTTTTACAAACATTGAAGATACAGCTGACTATGCGTATTACTTGATGATGTACAATTTTTTATTGATTGTAATGAATTAGGTATGCGAAAATTCCGGATGAACCGATGGGAAGTATGGTAACTATGAAAGGTAGCAGTAGTAGCGCCAGTAGTTCCGGGTCTGAAAGTTCTTCCGAGAGCGATGATTCGGACGAAGAGCGGACCCAAAAATTGGTTGCTTTACAACAGGAGGTACGTTTTAATTTCTTCTTCTAGTACATCTCATTATTCTTTTATATGAATTCACTATGAACAAAAAACGACTGCCTAATGTGTAGTTGAAAGCGATGCAAGAACAAATGAGAAAATTAGTGGAAGAAAGTGGTAAGAAGAAGAGTAAAAAGAAGAAACCCGACAAGTCAAAGTCAAGGCCAATGAGCAATAAGAGTGGTAGTCTTGTTCCCAGTCATACTGGTGCCATGAAAGAACTAATGAAACCTAGTAGTGGAATCCCAAGCGTCTCTGATAGTGTTGGTGCTAGCATAGCCAGCGTTGCGATGGGGGCAGGTGATTTGAAGATGCCTGGTGGTATGGGTGGTGATTTCCATCATCCTGCCATAGCGGTAGGACCTAATAAAACTCATGCGACAGGAGGCATGAGTCATCATCTGCCAACAGCGGCGAATGCGAAGCCAAAGTCCCTAAAAGGGAGACCTGGGAAAGCGGCGACGGCGAACACTGCTAATAAGAGGCCGAAGGCAAATAGTAGATCGGCTGGAACGAAGAAAAAGGCGAGTAGTCAACCACCTCCAATTACATTCGATTCGGAGGATGAGGACAACGCTAAACCAATGTCTTACGACGAAAAGAGACAACTTAGTTTGGATATCAACAAATTACCTGGTAATTGTTAATAATAACGTTTCTAATGTAAAGATTGTTTCATATATCTTTTAATTTTAATGATCTTTTGCAGAAAATCTTATTCATTGTTTTTGTATATTCCAGGAGATAAATTAGGACGCGTTGTGCACATAATACAATCTCGGGAGCCTTCATTGAGGGATTCTAACCCGGATGAAATTGAAATTGACTTTGAAACGTTAAAACCATCCACATTAAGGGAACTAGAGAACTATGTCGCTTCGTGTCTTAGAAAAAAGCCACGTAAGTTTTGTTCTATAATTGAATTCATGTGTTCCTATTTTGTATAGATAAGTCTTAACCATTAAAATTATATTGATAATAATTGAGATTGATCATGACGTCGTTGCGATGGCTAGAAAGCTTCAAGATGTGTTTGAAATGAGGTACGTTTTTACAAACATTGAAGATACAGCTGACTATGCGTATTACTTGATGATGTACAATTTTTTATTGATTGTAATGAATTAGGTATGCGAAAATTCCGGATGAACCGATGGGAAGTATGGTAACTATGAAAGGTAGCAGTAGTAGCGCCAGTAGTTCCGGGTCTGAAAGTTCTTCCGAGAGCGATGATTCGGACGAAGAGCGGACCCAAAAATTGGTTGCTTTACAACAGGAGGTACGTTTTAATTTCTTCTTCTAGTACATCTCATTATTCTTTTATATGAATTCACTATGAACAAAAAACGACTGCCTAATGTGTAGTTGAAAGCGATGCAAGAACAAATGAGAAAATTAGTGGAAGAAAGTGGTAAGAAGAAGAGTAAAAAGAAGAAACCCGACAAGTCAAAGTCAAGGCCAATGAGCAATAAGAGTGGTAGTCTTGTTCCCAGTCATACTGGTGCCATGAAAGAACTAATGAAACCTAGTAGTGGAATCCCAAGCGTCTCTGATAGTGTTGGTGCTAGCATAGCCAGCGTTGCGATGGGGGCAGGTGATTTGAAGATGCCTGGTGGTATGGGTGGTGATTTCCATCATCCTGCCATAGCGGTAGGACCTAATAAAACTCATGCGACAGGAGGCATGAGTCATCATCTGCCAACAGCGGCGAATGCGAAGCCAAAGTCCCTAAAAGGGAGACCTGGGAAAGCGGCGACGGCGAACACTGCTAATAAGAGGCCGAAGGCAAATAGTAGATCGGCTGGAACGAAGAAAAAGGCGAGTAGTCAACCACCTCCAATTACATTCGATTCGGAGGATGAGGACAACGCTAAACCAATGTCTTACGACGAAAAGAGACAACTTAGTTTGGATATCAACAAATTACCTGGTAATTGTTAATAATAACGTTTCTAATGTAAAGATTGTTTCATATATCTTTTAATTTTAATGATCTTTTGCAGAAAATCTTATTCATTGTTTTTGTATATTCCAGGAGATAAATTAGGACGCGTTGTGCACATAATACAATCTCGGGAGCCTTCATTGAGGGATTCTAACCCGGATGAAATTGAAATTGACTTTGAAACGTTAAAACCATCCACATTAAGGGAACTAGAGAACTATGTCGCTTCGTGTCTTAGAAAAAAGCCACGTAAGTTTTGTTCTATAATTGAATTCATGTGTTCCTATTTTGTATAGATAAGTCTTAACCATTAAAATTATATTGATAATAATTGAGATGAAAAAATATTTGTGTTACATTTCGAAAATATAGCGTGAATCATTAATACATTTATATTACATGCAAATGAAATGTATTATACTTTTAACGGATTTGATTTAATATTTTTCACAGATAAAAAAGTCAGTGGTAAATCTAAGGACGAACAAATGGCGGAGAAGAAGCAGGAACTAGAGAAAAGGTTACAAGATGTTACAGGGCAGTTAGGCAATGTTAAGAAAACCGCTAAGAAAGGTACATAATTTATATTTCAATTTACATATATATGTATAAGTATGCAACAAATGACATTTGTATCGGTTGAAAAGGAAACGCACACATGAAAATGCGATTTATTATGGTCATGATCTAATGAAATTGTTGTGAAATTCCTTTTTACAGAAGACAGTAGTAAATCAGTTGACGTAGTGGGAACTGGAGGAGCTAGTGGGCCTTCGCGATTATCAGCATCAAGCAGTAGTAGCAGCGATAGTGATTCCAGCAGTAGTTCACTTTCTTCGAGCTCCAGTGATTCGAGCGACAGTGAAGCAGGTTAGATATATAAACCTCACGTAACTGTTGCTATTATTAGACCCTTACTTGGGAACAATGAACTACTTATAAATGAGTAGTTACCACGAAATTATCAACTAATTTTTCCGTAAGATTTAAAATTACGAGGTTATTTGCGACTGTTCACCTTTTTTTTAGACATCAAAATTGTTCATAATGTTCGTTACCTGATAAACGTATCTCATAGAAGCACAGATTTCTGTTCACGTTTATGCTTAAAAGTATTACAAAGACAATATATACATTTTATCGATCTTTTACAAGCACATTCGATCATTCACGTTTCCTCTTATCGCGTCATAATAGAATAATTACAAGTAACATTTCCATTCACGGTGTACAGACTTGCATATTGATTGATGTCTCAAGTAAGAGTGCTTGAATCGATGAGATAATTTATCATGTTAAATATAATAGAAAAAGATCGTAAACACCAATCTTTTAGGTAATTTTGTCGAATGAAGTTCTTCATCATTTCATGCGGATATTTTGTACACATGGGTGAAAACTAATTATTTTAATCTATTATTTTAATGTAGTGGGTATTACATAGCAAAATTCATGTGTTCAAATTATTACATTATTCCATCTACTTCAATATTGATAATCACTTTTTTCTAAATGTTCTACAATGATATCTGCACAAGATTTGCATGGAATATATTTATATATTATATAAAACTATACGATGTTAATAATTGTACAGTGTTAATTTTTAACATAATAAATTATCAGTTTTAACGAGGAAAAGGAAATTAGTAATTTGTATAACAAAATGCAAATAGAATTTAATATCCCATGACTTGATGATGACTTTAAGTTAAAAAAAAATGACGTGAACTCTGTGCCTAACTAATTTTGTATTGGCAATCAAAATAATCTGAGATACATGCAACATTATTGACGGTCAAAATAACGTATAATGAAACGAAAAGTTATGAAATACATAGTTATAAAGAAAGATGTTTTGAACAGGGGTTAGACTGCACAAAAAGCATCGCAAATATCTTCTTAAGCTGCTAAATCTTGCTTATTAATTGTATTTATTAGGACGGCGTTATTCGTATAGCTTAAGTGCTGCGTTATATTAATGCAAGTACAAAACAACGTGTCAAGTTTCATGATGATTAGTTTGATAAACCAAATTTATTACGAAATTAACGATGAAGCATAGAACATGATCGTAAATTTGCGTATAATATTCAAAATGCAATTGAATGTATATATACAATTTCGAAACTTGACACAAAATTGAAGAATTTTTTATTTAATTTACAAGACAATATGCAATGGTAAGAAAGAAAAGGTGAGCTAGTGGAGTGCAGACTGTGTTTAGAGGATACCATATGCCATGCCAGCTTGTTTCACAAATTATATTATTGATTAAAAATGATTACTTATATTTTCTCTTGCCCTATCGGTGTTGACAATACGTTCTGTTGCTCGAAAGTCACAAGTATAGTTTGCTATTCAAGGTCACTGAATTTTTCACTGCAGTCTCGTGGTTGAGTATGCAAGGATACGTTTAGACATATGAGAGAACACTGTGTCTGAGAAAGTTACATGAAAATGTGTGGAGATGTAATTATGATAATAGAAACGTATACAATAGAGGACTGTAGTGTCAAATGTTGGTACCTTGGAATTATATACATTGTAGCTTCTCCTGACAATTATATTGCCCTACGTAACCCAAGCAACATCATGCAGTATATTAACTCTTGCAAATTTAATATTTATTTACATTAATCGGTAAGCAGAGCATTACTTGTATCACTGTGTTCTTTTAAATCATTAAGTTTGTTTCCTCGCATTGATTCATTCATGTCTCGTATCATTTTTCGGACGATAATAGTACAGTGATATTTGACAAGCGTCATTGCTGCATTAAGTGTAAATATACACTTACTACCTGAGTGACGTGAGAACTGTGTTTAGGCTTCTGAACACTCTTAATTCAGTTTCCACAGTTTTTTTAAACTGTGTGGACTTAACGGTCAAATATTTAAAAGGAGAAAGAATCAATTAGGTAGCGATATTATGATACACACGGGAAACAAATGCAGACAATGTGTATTGGTGGCTGGATTTGCAAATCCACGTTTTAAGGTTTACTATAATTCACAGCTTTCGCGTCAATATAGTGATTTAAACCGGATACACTACTTGCTTGCGCAAATATCGTCTCCGCAAACATTTTCCAGAGTTTCTTACGTACCTCTTAATAGATTTTTTATCTGATCTTTATACCTCATATGACTGTTTCCATTCCTTAAATTAGATTTAGTTTAATAGAGCCAAAGAAGCGGTGCTTCCTTCTTAAAAAGAAAAGTCAATTATTAAGGTGTACACGATGTATGGTTTAGATGTAGTTGCGAAGTCAAACAGAAATCTCAATTCTTCCTCTAAGTACATACATATACATGGATTCAAGTAAAAGAAAGTGATAAAATAAAATAGTTACAAGACAAATGCAAAGTATGCGGAGAAAGCGATACGTGATACAGTCAACAATTTCCATTTATTTTTCGTAAGATTAAATGACTTTGAGCATACGAGGTTTATGTTAGCATATCGGAGAAAGGCAAGGGTACCGTACTACACACTGATGGTACGACACAGGCAGAAAAGGGTAGATGCATTGTTTACGATATATTTAGATGGAAAAAGAAGATGAACGATAGAAGAGTTAGGAACGAGAAACAGGTCGAGGAAGTGGTCTACGATACGAACAAGGCACCCTAGCCTCCAAACACATTGTTTGCACTCCGCTAAGCTTTGCTAATCGTCGTTTCATTATTCTATTTACCACTAGTTCTTCATTGGTAGCCATTGTCAGCTTTTCATTTTCGAAATTAATCGAATCGAAATTTAGCGCATTTTCGTTTCTACTAAATCGACATCATTATGTCAAATAATAATAATTATTAATTATTTGCATATATATTGGTGTGGTTTTACATGCCTCGATACATAAAATAGTATTTATTCTTGTTAAGAATGAATTTAATTTCCTTGTGTGAAACACATTTCTAAAAATATAGTAAGTACGTACGTACTATATTACGTATTGTACCTATCTGATTTGGGGTAATTATTTCGTAAAGCAGTGTCTCAAATAATTTTTAACCCGTCCTATTAAAAAAAAGGAGAAAGTTTTTAGGAAATCTTTTATACAAGTTTCAATTAATTTTAGTGATATTTTGTTTTTATATTTCTATGTATAAATGTCTGCTCCATGATAGCGTTTTTTGTTGAAATATCATGTAAATTTAGTTCTTATGATGTAATAAAGTATACAAATAACACGAGGTGTTATGGACGTAACTGAATTTATGATTCTAAGGTGCTTTCAGAAGCACGTATTTCTTGCTTGCAAATGTTGCATAACATGATTATTGGAAAGAAAAGAGATGAAGAAAGAAAAGTGATCAAATTCTCACTCAGTACAATTTAATGTTATCATTAATCGTACAGCCAGCAGCGTACTTACTGTTCCAGTGAACGAATTAAATAGAGAAATTTATCATGAATTATCATTCGTATTTTATCAGGCGAAATAGCAATTTATTAGAGAAAAAGAAAATTGTTTGTTTATTTCTGAGAAAAAATATATGTATTAAAATCAGACACGAAGTTTTGATCTGAAGATGATCCTGTATAATTTTGTGTTTCCTGAGATACTGAAAGTAAATAGAAAAATTCAATTAATTAAATTAGTTAGATTATCGTGAGATCAAATTAATGGCGTGTGCTGAATTAGATAGAAACTACGCATCTATTAAAAATACAATCACCATTAGCTTGTAACACGAAGTTAGGGCATTTTATAATAATATCAATATTGCCTTCCAAAATTTTTTGTAGCATTTATTCCACATAAAAAGCACGCGTCGAAATTTTTTCGCATATTTATCCAGTCTGGAACATTTCATTCTTCCTTTGGGACCGTTATACGCATAAGCAGATCCAACGAACTTGAATATTTTACTATGAGTTTGAGTTGGAAAGGAGTTAGGAGAAGTTATTTAAAAGAAAAAGAAAGAAACACACATTGACTCTATTCCTGCTCTCACGATCATACATATGTGCGTGCGTTACATCTGTTTTGTGCGTATCACGAGTTGGACAGCAACGGTAACACAAGCATACGCGTTTTGTACATAGTGAAAACTAATATATCATAAAAATATTAATAATACTAGTTATAAGCTATGAGAAAAAGAGGCGATACAGAGGAGACTTTTTTTAATGCATAAACACAGTTAGATGAGTGACGTAAAAAAAAATATATATATATATATATAAGAACATTGATTCTTCGAGAGATTGTTTTAGAGTCGGGGTTGGCTCATTTGGTGGCCCAGTTAACTATATTATATAAATTAAGATACGCTGGAACTTCTACTCGATGTTTCTTTTTACGCTATTTTGTTTCTTTTTGCAATCGTTTTCTGTCTCGTATTTGTACATTTTTGCGAACTGTGTAATCTGCATACACTTGTCGACCATTCCATTGACGAACGACGATTTATATATACGAGCAAGAATGATATTTAATGTTAGAATTGTTGCTTGTAATCAATTGTAAATGAATTTAACTATAATGAACATCGAGCAGGAGTGTCTTGCCACCGATCTCAATACTGTGCTAACTGCGACTTAAAATTAAATTCTGAATCTTCTTGTCTAAGTGTGACACACTTGTATCATTCACGTTTAAGTTGAGCCCATATTATAACTATTTACGTGACTTTTTATTTTCATTAAATCTATTACATTACAATACATTTATATTATAATGACGGTACACACTGTACGAGAACAGAGCAGCGATAAAAAGCAAGGCAGAGTTTGATGGTTTTGTAGTCAGCATTTTGTAATCATCATTTTCGTCACTGTCACGATTATTATTGTAACGATTATATAATTATTATTATATTATTTTATTATTAATATTACTATTATTATTCACACGAAAAGGAAGAAAATGAAGTGCGCGTTTTCGCATACGTATATATACAATATATATATGTATGTATAATGCAAGTGCATATGTACATATATATAGGACGTTATATGTATATGTGCGTGTGGCAATCCCGCTGCACGCGAGCGTGTGTGTATGTGGCGCGCGTGTGGTATGTATGTATGTATGTATTTATGATGTGTATACATATATATTTATATATATATGCACACGCAATTATTCATAAATGAATTGAGTACGACTAACTTTATGTAGAATGAGATAAAACAAAATGAATTGTTCTGCGCATTAAAAATTTTTTAATATAAAAAAAAAACATTAAGATGAAAGTCCACAAAAAAATCATACAATTGAGATATTTAAATTAACATTGTTGTACACAGTGATACAATTATAATATAAGCATATGAATAAAATCTATTAGAAAACATACGATCGAAGTTTTTTAATTTTGTTTCTAACGTATGTAACAAGTTTGTCTGGCATTTCTGTTGCTCGGTGAGCGAAGTATTGATGGCTGGTATCCTCTGCACACTGCATTTCACTATGTCTTCATCGATCTTAGTCTTTTGTAACGAGAAAACGATTGATTGCACGTATTCATCACTAGATGCACGTTACATTGAATTACAGGAAACTCTTCCAATCGTCCTCCAAGAAAGAAAGCGAAGAAGAATACACCAAGTACAGGACCTCCGGCAACAACAACCACTGTTACACCGGTAAGATAACATGTCCGTAGGAATCAGTTGATATCAGCATTTGCTTCAATCAGTCAGAAATATATAATTTTAATTAATGTAATAAATATTGTAAATATGTTTACATTTTCTTAACTAGGATTATTATGTCTATAACATTGACTATATTTAGAATCCGTACTCAGAAATGTAACGGTTATTTTTATATCGGTAGAATAATATTTAGTGTAAAATAATAATTTCTATGATATCCTCAAACTGCGAATCTCCTGGTACACAGTAAAATATTTCTTATGTACGATATATTAAACACAGTACACTCTTTAGGCACCTACACTGAATCATACCGGAGGTCTGTTAATGAATAATCAACCCACAACAAATTCAACGGGACCAATAACAAAACCAACTGTAACTCAGCCTAGCAACATTTCTTCAGAACAAGGTGCGTGAAAATCTATTTAATTTTGTTGGTTTCTAATGTCTTTACACGTGTTGCTGAACATTCATTTTGAAACGTAACTTATGAGATTCTGCATTAGCACGATAAATATTGTATCGTAAATTTATAATTATGCATTTGCACGTGTACACGTATACTTATCATATATGTACATTTACATTTGGTAACTTTATTAGGTGGCAATAATCAACGTCAGCAGTCCGTGGTAGTAGCGACTGTTGGTCAAGGGATGCCTGTAGCGAGTCATGCGTCTATGCCAGCGCAACCACCGCGATCCACAGCCATGGCTACAGCTGCTCCTGTGAAAAAGCCCACGCCACCACCACCGACCACGTCGAATCCGCCGACCCCATCAGTTTCTGTACCAACTCCACCACCAAGTGTTACACCTACAAATACGAATTCTATAGTAGCTTCACCGGTTGTGCCTCAGCTACCACAGCCACCTATTAGTTCCTTTTCGAGTGCAAACACGCCTGTGCCCACAGATGGGACAGTTTTAACTCAACAGTCAGATCTTTTACAACCTTATAGTACTTTAGGTATATAGTTTTTCTCGTATTAAATAATTTTTACGATCGATGGTTTATAACAGAATTAACTTGATTGTCTGTCTACAATTCAACAGATCTATTTTACATTAATGTATGTCCAACACTGATATCCGTGTTATAAACCAACGATATATATTTGTGTCTCCTTTTTTTTTCGGTAAGATAACGAACGACATGAAAAATATAAAACTAATTTCTTCCCTCTGTGCAGCTCCTGTGCCTACCACGCAGACATTGGAACAATCGATGTCGTTAAAAAAAAAGCCACACATACCAATGATCCAAACGCCACACACGACAACAAATAACGCGAACATGAATTTACTGTCCGACGTGAAACCACCAGTAAATATGATGCCAACAAGTATGGCATCAAATTTGAACCTGGGAAACATTACGATGGCCAATCTAAATATGAACTTGCAACAAGGATTGGCTACGCATATGCCGATGCACAGCCAATTGGAGAATATGATAAACACGAGTTCGCCGTTGACCAACATACAAAACTCCCATAACGCCACCATGTCGCAGCAGCATTCCAACGGATTTTCTAATACCAAGCGGGAAAATTCTCCGCCCAATATGTTGAACAATAACGGTATACCTGGTCTCAGTATGGGAATGAATATGGGAGGAATGGGCTCAATTTTCGATCCGATGTCCATGGTCTCCATACCGATGCAATTATCTCAAATACCAAATAAGAAAGAAGAAAAATCGGTGTCTATTTCTCAATCGCAAATACCTCAAAAGTCCATGGATGGTATGTCATATGTTAATTCATATTCAAAGTTTGAAAGATTATTATTACACCTCATATGTAACTGCTGCTTCTTCATGATTCATTTTCCAATTAATTCATTACATTAATTGTTTGATATATGTAATGTGTAATAAAACGAAACTAACATTTCTTCATCACTCTACTTGCCTGTGACATGAAAATATACGCAAAACGAGTGCTTCAATTCCATTTATAAATAGCTTCTCATCGCTGCGTTCTACATTCTAGATTGCTATATTACTAATCAAGCTGCTTACTAATCAAATATATAATGCCATTGCTCTAGCCGGAGCTCTTTTTGCAGAAATGAATACAGGAATGCCACCGATGGGGAATCATTCGAGTTCGCAGCTTATGCCTGAGAAGAAAATGACGCCACCCGATTCGAAAAATCCTGTGTCGAATTTCGCGTCAGCTTTCAAAAATAAGGTATGAATAGAAACCGTAGCGTTTCATTAATTCAGGGATTTTCAAAATTATTTCTAGCTATTAAAACTTTCAATTGCTTGTTATATTTGTATAGACTGTAGAACAGAATGTAAAGAATGCTTCGTCGTGGTCGTCTTTGGCGCAAGCATCGAGTCCTCAGTCAGCGGCAGGAAGTAGCATGAAGAGTGCCGCTCAGGATTCATTCCAGGCATTCAAAAAACAAGCGAAAGAAAAGCAAGATAGGGTTAGTAGAAGTAACATTTATCTTAGAATTACAAATATAGATCCTCAAGATAATATTTAATACAGTGTGCACAGATATAGAGACAGTGTTATTTTTAAATAGAATAAAGAATGAGCATGTATCTTTTTACAGCAAAGAGCGTTGTTGGAACAACAAGAAATGCGTAGGCAACAGAAGGAGCAAGCGGAACGAGAACGTTTACGGCAAGAAAATGAAAGAAGAAGAGAACGGGAAGAAGAAGACGCGTTAGACAAAGTTAGAAAAACTGTTACTGACCCACAAGGAAACATTATGACTTCTTCTACGGGGACAGAAGAAGTGAATAAAGCCATTGTAGATACAGACAGTAGTAGTCCGAGTCAATCATCCAGTCAAGACAAAGCCGCAGCTGAAAGAGAACGTCAAAGGCTACGAGAGCAAGAACGACGTCGACGCGAAGCGGTAAGTTCCGTCGTAATTTCTTTTTTTTCACAAGTATGTCGTCTTTCATCAGTGACAGATTTCTGGATTTGCGCTACATCGTAGATGTAAAATAAAATTCAAGGGAGGCAACAGAGATCGAAAATACGAAACGCTTTCTCCTTGCAAAACATGAGAAAATTCGCGACCATTTCGTTAAATGACGCACGTGTAGATTTCCTCACTGTCGTTCATGACTATTGGTAGGCTAGTATGCCAAGAGAATGGTTATATTTATTATTTCAGATGGCTGGACAAATTGACATGAACTTGCAAAGCGATTTGATGGCTGCATTTGAGGAATCGTTATAATGTTATTTGCTCCTTAAAAATCCATTGAAACCGGGCAGGACTTGGATGATTGTTTGGCGGTGGTCGATACTGCAGAAACGTATTAATATATACGTCAGTCAATAAAAAAACAAAATAATAATAAAATAGTTATGAACTGAGTAAAGAAGTCGGTGTAATAGTAAAGAAACAAAAATATAAATGGTGGTGCGAGTTGGGACATTCCAACGGAAGGAGAAACCCAATCTTCATTAGTCCGAAGAGAGTTATCGGACCTCAAAGAGACAGTTTATCAAATGACATGAAACTAATTGTGTGTAATCGACGGACACATAAGTGTGACCATGTAATTAGATAAAATACTTACACAACACTGAAAATGCTACACTGACTATTGTGTTACATTTTTCCGGTTTTCATAAGTTTGTACTTTATGTAAATTTGGAAACAAAACAAAAAATATTACGCAGATGATAAGTGAAAGAGAGATTGCGAATATGAGAGCGGCAGAGAGAATGTGAGAGTGCATCGCGTGCAGTCACCGAATGTGTATCAGTGCGAAAGCGAGCGTGGGAAAGTGTAAAAGTTGTGTACATTTAGTTAAGTTTTATATTTTTCCACATTCAGTCATTAATCGTTGGTAGGATTACATAGATAACTGTTTCTGCCAATAATATATATAATTATTAGCGATTACTAATAATTTTATTGCAGATTTCTTTCTTGATTATGAATATACTATTTGTAATCATGAGATACATAGGCTTGTTAAGTCAATAATATAGAAAAGAAAAATATACTTAATGCGATCATATAAATTGGTGAATTTAATCGTATTGATCATCACGATAGCCCGCATGACTGTAAAAAATTATTACTGACTTGTGGAGTCAGAAAGGGCCAATCGGTTGATTTGAAAATAAATAAAAAAAAGGAAATACTTGTAAACTCACCTTAGAACAAAGTCGTCAATTATTATGCATAACTGTAAGGTGATTATAGTATGATGTAGTTTCGATCCTACCAACTATTATATAGATCCAACGTATGTACCTAATTCTTGGTATGTTCTAAAGATCGCAGAAACAGAAAGTTTGACACGTTATTGACTCGTAAACGGAACATAATCTAGAGAAGAATTATATTTCTTTGATAAGAGCTGTGAAAGTTCATTAATAAAAATCAAAAACGCTAGACTTTCAACAAAAAAATTATTAAAATGTAACTCAAAGGAACCGCATTTGGCGTGCAACAAGCGATTTGGATTTTCTAAATAAGCGTAAAAA